CAACATCAAAAGTAGTGCCTAGGGCAGGAGCGATCCACAGTAGTTACAAACCTTAGTGCTCTTGTGGAGAACCAGAGTTCAGTTCTCAGCACCCAAGTCTGGCAGCTCGTGACTTCCTATAGCTTCAGATCCAGGAGATGAGACACCTTCCTCTGGCTTCCTCATGTACTACACTCACATGCGCATACCCACACAGATGCACATACCCACAAAGAAACACACATATTTACGTATTTCTAAAACTTTTGCAGCTTTTAAAATTAAAATATAATTACATTTCCTCCATTCTTCATAATTTAAAAAATAATAATTTGAAAAAGTACATTGCATTCTTTCAATCAAATTGATTTGGTTCAATTTGTCTTTCTTGGAAGATAAGCAAGCTTATGTAGGTTTTCATATATCTGGGAATCACTTTTCACTCCCTATCTCTGGCCCATTTTGACAAGTTTCCTGTATAATTACTACCTGCTGTATTGGCATCCTTACTCCATCACGTATTCAATTCTATGGATAAGTGATAAGTACACACATTTAATGTTACGTACTGTATTAGTCAAGTTTCCCTAGAGGATTTATTAGATTGGTTTACAGGATAGTACATAGCCCGATAGTGGCTGTCTCATACTGGTGAGGCTGAAAACTCAACAGATGCTCAGTCCATGAAGCCAGATACCACAACAGTGCCAAGCTGGCACTGAAGGCCCGGAAGGTTTCTGGGCTGCAGGGTTTCTCTGTTAGAAGGCCAACAAAGCTCGGTTCTTTGCCCATGAATCATGGTATCAGCAGTGGTGGCTGCAGCATGATGCCAACAGGGACAGATGAACTTGCCAGCACGATGCAAAGGCAAACAGGCCAGAAGCAGGAGCTTGTCTTTGGCAGCCTTCTCTTCATTTGGGCTGCCATGGAAAGGTGCCGCTCACCTCTGCTGGCCCTTCCGTCTTCAATGGCCTATCTGTCAGTTAGTTCCAAAGTCACTCAGGTTGATGCCCGAGAACACATTGCACCGTCCTTCTGCTGTTGCTTCTGGCTTATTTTGGGTGACTCCATGAGCCAGTAGAGAAAACGAATTCTAAAAAGTGTTGGTTATAACTAGATTTGTGACTTCTTACATTTCATATTTGTTCCTGTTGTGTTTGTCCTTGGAAGTCAGTTCATCTATCTCTAAAACTGTGATCTTGTGCTTCATTAGGAGCATCTTAAGCATGTCATTGCCTTATCTTCTATTGCAGGTGTGTGTGTGTGTGTGTGTGTGTGTGTGTGTGTGTGTGTGTGTGTACTGTGCCACGTGTGTGGAGGGCAGAGGACAATTTTTAAGAATCAGTTTTCTTCTTCCACCGTGTGGGTCTCAGAGATCAAGCTCAGATCAGCAGTCTTGGCAGCAAGGGCTTTTCCCAGCTGAACCGTCTCACTGGCCTCTGCCTTGTCTTTTAACATTTTATTTATTGTTGAAGAATGGATGTCCATTTGATAGCAGTTTTCCCTTAGAAGCAGTGCAGTAATTTTTTTGCCTGGGGTGCTTGCTAGAAATTTTCTTTGTTCTTTTTTTTTTTTTTCTTTTGTTTTTCGAGACAGGATTTCTCTGTGTAGCTTTGCGCCTTTCCTGGAGCTCACTTGGTAGCCCAGGCTGGCCTTGAACTCACAGAGATCCGCCTGCCTCTGCCTCCCGAGTGCTGGGATTAAAGGCGTGAGCCACCACCGCCTGGCTTCTTTGTTCTTTTTTATGATTTTATTTGGTCGTGGAAACCTAATCCAAAATACCCCCACAAACAGTATAAGTTATTGCTATTTCCTTTGGTTACCTCCCAGAAATGGAAGACAAGACCCTGTCGCAGAAGACACCACACATTTCAGACACAGCACTCAGAGGAATCAAGCAGGAACTGGAGGTCTCCCTCTGGAGGACCTCTTAGTACTGGGAGGAGGTGTATGAGCTGCCAAGAGAGAAAAGCAATCAATAGTCCTACCCAGCTATAACACCTACAAAAACCAGCCATGACCAGTGCAGCAAGATATTCTGACAGGTGCATTCGGGCACCTATATCCACGGGGTAACCAACAACTCTCTAATTGGACTTAAGACATGTTCAAAAGGACGGAATTAACGTCTGGCACTGTAAACCAAGCCCACTACCTGTGGCTAGTGAGGCCAAGGATTAGAGGAGAACCTACTAACTACTTTCCTAGAACCACTTTCTTAGAACTACTTCCTAAACCATATCATCCCTCACTGCACCTCACTACTTCCTCTCCTGCCTACAGACAAATGCAGTTCTCACCACTCATCAAAAAGTTTCCTTAGCAGCAGATGGAGACCGTTAAAGAAATACATGACTGGTCAAATGCAGAGAACAACCAGCTGCAAAGTGCCCAGCCCCACCCGCTACCCCTATAACATAATCCCTACACCCAGTGCTCAGGAAATACTACAGAAGGGGGTAGGCAGATTGCAAGAGCCAGAGGACCAGGACATCCGCTGAGAGGTTGTGTCTTCTAGATACAATAGGGAGCTGTACTCATGAAGGCTCGGTGGTCTCGTTACCCAAACAACACCTGAAAAAATGACACCAACTGACACTTCAATGTGGATGGGGAAAATCTCACAAGACCCTACCCCTAAATGAAGAGCTACAAGCAAGTAATGGCTGCTAAGAAAAGGAGAATCGATCCTCTCCAGGATCGAGTCCCCATAGGATACCCAATCCCAAGTAGTCAGCCCTAAACACACACATGTATGAGCAACACTAAATGAACTCAACGGGGTGTATTTATAAATGTGTGTGTAATAATCATGATTAATAAATAAGAGATTATGAATTTGAGGAGTAGGGGAGGCACAGGGAGAGGAATTGGGGATAAGTGATATAAATACAGAACTCATATATGAAATCTTAAAAAAAATTAAATTTTATTTATTTGTTGTTCTCTTATGTGTATGTAAGAGTGCCTGTGTATGTATGTATGTATGCATATATGTATGTAGATATACATCACAAATATGCAGTACCCACAGGGGACAGATGAGGCTGTCAAATCCCCTGGGACTGGAGGTACAGACAGTTGTGAGCCTCCTGATGAATGCTGAGAACTAAACCCGGGTCCTCCACAAGAGCCGCAAATACTCCTAACCACAGAGCCAGCTCTCTAGCCCCTTTGTCCTATATTTATTTATAGCTTTTGAAGACACTGAAGCCAAATATCAGTGTTGTTGATTTTTGTCTCAATTTATCACACTACACACAGTGTTCTTTCAATATGTAAGTTTGATTCCCAGAAAGTTTTCTTAGTATTTATTCTTCTCCTCTTTTGCTTGAGAGAAAAATTTTCAGAGATTCCTGTAGTATGTATATTTGATACTCTCTGCTTATGTTTTATGTGTCATTCGATCCTCACAATGACCCTGGTAGATATCTCTTAATAATAAAGATGGGAAACCCAAGCCCCGCCCACTGCCAAACTCATTTAGTAGGAAACATGGAAGAGTTAATGACATGCATAACATAATACAGTTATGTAAATTTAAATATGCAGCTCTGTGATGATGCAGACCGAGTCTCAGTACCAGTCAGAGACTGTTCACAACAGAAGCAACAGCAGCTCTTGAAATGTGATGCCCCTGAATACTTGCTGGGCCCAAGTATTAACAGCAAAGTGGCTTAGCCTGTGGTTTCCATGGTAATTTCCCTAAATCTGCACCCAATTTTTCTAGTCAATGTCTTCTTTTCAGTGCCTCATTGGAAATAAACAATCAGAGTGAGGTGTGAGGGCATGCTGGTGATTCATGCAGAGAGTCTGATGATGACCATGCCTGTGGTTCATGTAGGTCCATTCCAGTGGTCCATGATAGTGGTTCACAGTTCAGACAGGTGGCCCATATCAACATTATATCAAACATCAACCTTTATAATTTGTTCAGTATCTATACACTCAAGGTACCTGTTTATTTTAGAAGGAACCCCATGAGTGTCTAGGTAGCTGAAGAAACTGGGGAGGAACTTCTCCATTCTGGTACCTGACTATGCCTTCTTCTATCTACCAGTCCCCAAAGCTGAACATTGGACCAGACTGCTAAAACTATTCTCATGAGTTACCATATGGCTCCTGAGTATTTACCTAGACATCAGGAAGATGGATGTGGAATTTTGCAGGACACATCTGCCCTGGAGGACACGTGATCAGGAACTTGTCTCTCTATCACCCTGGAGAAACAGTTAATGGTAACTTCCTGCTCCACAGAGAGAAACAGATTCCTTAGCTAAAATAATGCATCTTAGCCAAATTGCCTTGGAATATATTCTGGCTGGGAGAGAGAGCTCTGCATTCTCACAATAGTCTTGTGTTTCTTACATTAACACTTCTATTGAAGTTGAACCATAGCTGGAAACAATTCCAGGAGAGCAACCTGACTCCAGAAAATACCTCCAGAGGTATCATAAGGAAGTGAGTGGTTGATTTGGGAGATTATGGTTCTGGTCTCCCCCAGAGGATTATACATACTGTTTCCGGGGCGTGTGTCTTGTTGGGTTTTTTTGTCAACATGACACAAGCTAGTCTTTCAAAAGAGAGACTCTCAGTTGAGAAAATGCCTCCACATTTGCTTATGCCCTACAAGTCTATAGGATATTTACTTGATTAATTATTGGTGCAAAGGGTGTGGCCCATTATAGATGATGCTAACCATGCTCAAGGATCCCAAGTTGTATCAGAAAACAGAGTGGACAAGTTGTGAATAGTAACACATTAAGCAGCATTCTGCTGTAATTTCTGCTTCAGTGCCCGCTTCCAGGTTTCTCCTTGAGTTCCTGCCCTGGTTTCTTCCATGGTGGGCTGGGATAAGGAACTGTACGCTAAAATAAACCTTTCCTCCACAAGCTATTTTTGGCCATGGTATTTTAATCACAACAATAGAAATTCTAAGACAGGTGGTCACTCTTACTAATTCTGTCTGTGGGTGATGTCATAATCACATGTACTTTGAAGTGATGCAGAGTAACAGTTGCCAGGGGCACTCAATCGGTAATGCCATACACGGTCTCCAGTGATCCAAACTCCTCTCTCACTCTGGTATCCAGAGAATTCTAATCCTCTAAATGGAGAGATACAGCACCCTCAACCAGTCTGAAGAAGTTTCAAAAGAAACCTACCCACAAATCTACTTGAGAACAAAGGAGGCGGGTGGGTGCTTATTGGCAGTTACAGGTAAAGGTAGTGGATCCCTTTTAGCTTTCCTTAAAATGTGATCTTTCCTTTGGCAATGAGTACAAGTGAACAGAGTTTGATTAGAGTGATTGGGCACGTCAGATCGCGGTGTGGCGTCCAGCCTGCTTCAGCATCTATGGTACTCACAACTGCTATGTAATTGTGAAGCAGGAAAGTGGTATCTTGGGGGAAGGCATTGACCCGCAGTAGCTTCTGGAAAGGGAACCGGTTGTCACTGCTCATTCCTATTCACTTCCTCTGACTCCAGGCTGTCACAGACTCGGTGACCATGACAACATAAATCACAGTATTTCAAGCAAGTCCCCATCTGAATCTGTGATGTAGGCCAAGTGCATCACACCTGGAGAATCTTCTTCCATGACATCTGTAGAAGATAGTCTAGATGCGTTCCAGTGTCCTTGTCTGCCATTTTTCCTTCTTGAACTATGATCTTAAGCATGCTCAAGCATGTGCTGTGTCAAAGCACATTTCCACATGAGTGTGTGTGAGCCTCCTGCATATGTAACCCATCCTTTATGTGTTGTGGGGAGAGTGGGTCGTTTGAGGGACCATATCCTGTGCTCTCTTGTCATCAGGCAGTACAAATCCCTTTTCACTCTTCCATGTTCTGGCCGTGCCTTTGTCTTTGAACTCTTCAAGATATGAATCCATCATTCTCAGTTACCCAAGTACTTGTTGTGATCTTTAATGTGTCAGTTCCATCCTGACACTCTGCTGGTAATGGCAAGAAGATGATAAGTTCAAGGCCAGCCTGGGTTACATAGCAAAAGCATGTCTCAAAGTGATAAAATAGCAATAATAATAATAATAATGAAATATTTCATCAGAAAGGCTGAAATATTGATTAATTCAGAACGACTTCAGTAGAAAAAATTATTTGAATCCTATAAAACAAGACTTCTTAGAGTTTAATGTGAAATGTATACTTTGAAACCTCTGCATTGAAACTAATCTTGCACCAGCGCTGTGGGGAGGGGTTGGCCTGGGAACACTCTGCACCATCAGAATCTCACATGGATGGACAGAATCGTTGTCTTAGGTGAACACAAGCAGGAGGCTACAGGACATTTCCAGAAGGTTGTGCTGAGTTCTAGGTTCTGCATTTCTAAGTTAAAGAATAGTACTTTGGCAGACTGTGATGGAAAGTGTTAGAAAATGGATTCCCTGAGGATCCCTTCTGAAGCCGGGGAAGACCCAGCCTTGAGAAGGAGCCAGGAGCATTCAAGAAACTGCTCATGTCAGCCACCCTCCGAGGACTGACTCGGGAAAACCATGATGTCCCCAAGGCTGTGCGTGGCAATGCTGAAAGCCGCTGTGAGGTTCAGAGCAGCATCAGGGATGGCCTTCTATACCCAGACCTGCCCACTCCCATGGAAGCACCAAGTTCCACACCTCTGTCAGTGCCTGCCAGATATGGGTGAGAGGCAAGTAGCGCTGGCTATGTCCATTCTAACCACAGCTAGAATCTGTGACAGAGGAACCACAATATCTTCAGAGCCACTGACGTCACGCCAGCACATAGGTGCATAACTGTTGCAGCTGGGCACTCTTCCAAGATGGATGAAAGGGGACAGTGAGACGACTTAGTAGGCAGAGGTGTTTGCCAACAAGCCTGATGACCCGAGTTCAGTCTCCAGAGCCCACAGGTTGAAGGACGGAACTAAGTCCCACAGGCTTCCCTCTGGTTTTGCAAGTGTAAATATTCCCCCAACCCGACCACACACACTAATAAATATAGTTAATATTTTCAAAAAGGATAAGTGAAAGGCATTTTATTATTTTCATGAAGCAGTAAGTTTGATCCTCCACCCCAAACTATTGACGTCATTAATTGCATGTCTTAATGCAACATGTGTAATTATTCATGAAAACAATGGCTATCGTCACAAATACTTAGGATGTCAACATACTCCTGACATCATGGCAGAGGTCCGGGGCAGTTTTGGTAGCAGAAGTCATGGACACCTGCTCTTCTCACATCTCTTCTATCACAGTTTAGAGTGTGAGGACCACCCTGTATCAAGCACATGTTGTCAGTCACAGCACTAAAGACGCCAGTGATGGTAGGGGAGGCAAACAGCTGTATTGCCATCTTGTCAGAAACACTTGGCTTGTTCTAAGTGCTCTTCAGAGCCCTTCCTGTCACATTAGCAGGAGGACCATGTTGTAAAGTTGGACAAGTGGCAAAGGATGTGCATTTTACTTCCAATTATGTGTAATTACCTTTTTGTGCTGCCAAGAGAAATAAAAAAGTGAAAAGAAAAATGCCTTCCCCTCTTGTCCATCCCTGTCTTCCTTGAGTTATATTCTTGGCACAGTGTGAACCTGGTTAATGTAGCACTGAGAAGATTCAAATGAATAACCACTGAATGGAGAGCAGACGGTGTGCCCCCCTTCCTGACGAGGTCATTCAGGATGTCGGCAGCCTTCACAGGTGCAGCCGAGAACATAGAAGTATCACTGCAGGTACTGTTCCTGCTTTAGACCACCATGGATCAGGACAGCCTGCTGAGCATCACAGATGTGCTTGATCCCATTTGTGGGGTTGGCAAAATGATGGGCCCCAATTCTCCATCCCTTGGAGGAAATATATAACTTCTCTTTTTAAAGACTTGTTTTTTATATATTTTAAGACAGAGCTGGAGTAGGAGAAAGGGGGAGGTGTGGGAGAGGGAGAGGGAAAGAGACTGTGAAGGTATGTGCATGTAAGTACAGGTGCCTGCAGAGGCCAGATGCATTGGATCCCCTGCAACTGGAGGTACAGGTAGTTGTGAGACACCTCCTGGGAACTGAACTTGGGTCATTTGGAAGAACAGTACATGTTCTCAACTGCTAAGATATCTCTCCAGCCCCCACCCCCAGAACAACTTCTATGTGTACATATCCAAAGGTAAAAAAAAAATCCAAGTCCCTTCAAATGATACAAAGATGTCTGGGCCATGGATATTTGAAAAATTAATGCTTTTTTAAAAAAAATCTCTGTAGCTATTAATGGATTTTGTGAACTGTCATGAGCCACAAGACAGATGTGGAGAAACATTTCAAGTAGAAGAAATGCTGATTCACAGCAGGGTAGCTGCTGGAGACCAGTGAGTGGAAGTCTATTCAAAAGAGAGAGCGCTGAGCAATTGGGGAAGATATGTGTGTGGATCTTTCTGACCTCAAAAGCAGGGAGACCAGACCACCATGCATTCCTCTGACATGGGATGCTACACTGAGCCTCTTTCTTAGACCTGAAAGACAGGAGATGCTTTGAGCTTTCTTCAAGGCTCATTATACTTAAAGTCTCCCATCTCTCATCTACAGATGCGTCTCCCTTGAGTCAGTCTCTCAATAACGTATTCCCACCTTGGCAGACAGGTAGCTCAGCTTCATACCTACTCACTTCTAATCACATGAGCACCAAGAGGAAACAAAGGACACACTGGAAACCAAATGAAACAGATTTGAGAGCTGTGCATCCCCTGTGAGGATAGCCCGAAGCAATACACACCAAGGGTAGCCTCCTCTACACTAACAAAAAACAGGGAGGGGTGTAGAGAAGTCTGGAACTGTGAGGCTGGGCACACTCTGCAGTAATCCATACCAGGAAGGACAGTTGAGGGCCAAGTCATTATGAACAAGGGTAGATGGTCAGAGTCTTCATAAAGTGAAAGTATTCCTTCTGACAATCAAAGGCCCTTTAGGGAGAATAGAAACCAGCTGGAACTGTTTAGAGGCCCAGAGTTGTGGCCTGATGCTCTGCTACCCAGTGGCACAGGTACCTTGCACTTAATTAGTAGACAGAAGCCATGCTTGTTAGAGAGGCACATGTCCTGATCACAGAAGGATCATGCTAAAGATGCAGAGTACAGCTGGGATTTGTTACTTACCAGCGAGATGCCATGACCCCAGGACCCTTACACTCTGCACGGCCACAAGCACAGCACCACCACAGCAGTGCCACGCTGTGTAAACAATAGCCAGGCCCTTCGGACCGAGGTGTCCGCTTTACTTCTCAACCCCGTTCAAGCAAGTCTCTCTTTTCAGGCACTCTCTTCAGACACTTCTTTTTCAAAGAAATATCTTCAAAAGGAGTTTGTGCTTTTACACTCTGGAGCTTTCCAATGACCAGGTCCTGTCTTTGAAGCATTTCTTCATATTCCCAGGCTCATGCTTCCCTTTCATGGATCTGACCTCTAGTAATCACTGAAGGTTTGGCAGTCCCTTTACCTCCTTTGCAGTGTTAATTACGTTCACACTAATTCCCTTGTCGAAGTGTGTGATTTTTTTTAACGTGTTCCTACTCTACTGTTTAATACTAATTTTTACTGTAAATCTATCTAAAAACAATTTGATACAGCAACGCCTTGGCCCAAATACTAGGCTGTTTTGAAATTCCCTCCACCAACAAATAGTACATTACTTTGGAATCAAGCCTGATTCAAACCTTCAGAAGATGAGCACAATATTTTTGTGAGAATGTAGCATGAACGGTCTCTAACACAGTCCCCAGTATAGTCCATGTTCTTGTCTGAAATGTTATGAGCTCAGTCTCGACTGTCCACACTTCTATTGGTATTCTGCTTTTCTCTATTCACAACAGAACACCCAGGTAAGCTCTGCTCATAGCATTCTAGGACGTCTCTAGCCCACTCCTCTAATCCTTCCTTCCTACAAACTTTTTCCTCTGGTCTATCACAAGGTCATAATCATAGCAACAACTCTATGCTAACTTTTTACTAACAACTCTTTGCTAACTGTTTTTTTTTTCCACCATGACCACAATATCTAATAGAGACAACTTAGGAGAGAAAAGACAGACATAACCTTTAAACTCCCACTAGAGACCAGTTTATACCAGCTAAGCCTAGCCTTTCAATGGCTCCATCACCTTCAAAATAGTGCCATACATCATTCATATTTGGGTTCTCTAGAAGAATGAAATAGAATTAATATATATCCTAGAAGGAGATTTATTAGATATTCTTACATAACAGTGGCTGGGTCTTCCAACAATGGCCATCTGCACATCGGAGAGGTGAGAACCCATCAGGTGCTCAGTCCATGAATCTAGAAGCTTTGGTAGTCCCCATCTGGTACTGAAGACCTGGAGGACTCCTGAGAGCTGCTGGTCTTCAGTCTGCCTCAGAAGCCAGATTCTCACATCTGTGAGGGATGCAGTAGCAGCAGCCGTGATCAGGTAACACACTCACCAGTAAAGGTGAACACGACAAGCAGCACTGTTTCTCCTCTTCACATTTGGGCTGTCACAGGAAGATGCTGCCCACTCTAGGGAGGGTCTCCTTAATCTTTCCTGAGCTACCCTCCACACCAGCCCAGAGACATGCCTCTTAGTTGATTCCACAGCCAATCAAGTTGACAACCAAGGTTAATCATCACACTTGGGAGCAAGCACTCAATACAAGAACCTCTGGTGGCAGTCCAGACTCGTGTGGTACATTCTTACCAATAGCGCCGGTGACAGGAAAAGTAATCTGGAAGTTTATCCTTCCCATCTGTATTATTGAAAACAAGGCAGATTCCAGTTTCTTGACACTTGCACTTCCAGGTCCACAGGAACCTGAGTCAGGAGGATTCCTTGAGGCCAGGATTTTAAGACCAGGCTGAGCGACACAGGGCTGGACAGATGAAACAGGGGTTGAGAGCACTGACTCTTCTTGCAGTGGACCCTGGTTCATTCCCAGAACCAACATGGCAGCTCATGACCACTGTAACTGCAGTCCTATGGATCTGATGCCTCCTTCTGGTGTCTGTGGGCACTGTACCCACATGGTATACAGACATGCATGTAGACAAAACGCCTATACCATACACATGAAATCAAATGAAGAAAGATTAAATAAAATAATTGATCAATTAATTTAAAAGGAATAAGTAAAGGAAGAAGAAAGAGAGAAGGGTGAGGACAAGCGGATGGCCTTCTTATACCTTTTCTATCAATAAGCAGTCTATATTCTCCAATGTGAAGGTACAAAACTTATAAAAGATAGCTCAGAACTTTAAATGACTCATATAGAACATTTTATATAGTTTACTGTCACTAAAAAGAGATCATTTATTAGTCGGCCTTTTCATGGTTGGAAATTTTAAAAATGGGTATCATTTTCAGGATATATTGTACTATCAATTCCAATAATAAATAGAAGCCATATCTGAAGTTAGGAGCAAAATGAGTGTCTTTCAAAAAAATGGAAGTATCTATGCTGGCCTGACGGTACACTTCAAAATTCATCCAGACAGGTTATCTACCGTGTCTTCACAATCATACCCTGCCTTCTCTCTCAGATTCACAAGATTTGCAGTCTGTTTGAAGTGGAAATAAATCACACTGAAAGATGTGGAGCAGATGGCTTGGTGTTCCATACAGTGATTGATCTTCAAATTGAAGGGCCATTAAAGAAAACTGACTCTCCCTTCCCCAGAAGTCATCAACTACCCATAGCTAATAAATACATTAAAACACACACACACACACACACACACACACACACACACACACACACACAAAGCTGGGTGGGTAGCGAAGGGGGGGTGGACCTGGGAAGAGCTGGGAGAAGAACAAATGGGACCCAACTACATTGTATAAAATTCTTAAAGAATAGAAATATTTTTTAAAAGGAGGACTCTCCCAGCTACACCATGGCTTTGAAATATGAAACAATGTACAAAGTGCTTCCCACCTGCGGTCACACAGGAGCGCTACAGAGGCTGGATGAACACTGCTGTGACACAGATGGCGCGCACAGACTAGACAGCAGCACCCCAAGAAGGAACGCCACACCTGCAGCCTAGCCAGGCTCACCGGGACTGAAAACCCTGAGGGACGTCACCACCAGCCTGTCTGCGGTACTGACTGCTTTCTGCTGAGCTAGTTCCAAGCCAGCCTGGATGATCTCTGCAGCTCAGAAACCCTTTACCCTGCCATTTCCACCCACCCCAAATCTTCGCACAGTCTTCCAACCTGAGTGAGTCCACGTTGGTGAGACCAGATGTGAGGGGAAATTTTACAAAAGGCAGGAAGGATTATTTTGCCAAGGAAGCCATCGCAGGAATTGACAATGTTCGTATGATTCGACAAGAGATGGAGTGATAGCATAACACAAGAGACCCACGGCAGACCAGATCCCCACACAAGGTTCAGAGAGAGAACTAGATGGCCAGGTTACCAAGGAAAGGCCTGAAGTTCAAAGCCTGTAAGAGTCTTCTGGGGTTTGAAATGGGATGAGTCTACCCAGGGGCCAGGAAGGTCTTTAGATCAAGGTGAAGATGCCCTGAGAAATGTCAGCAAGGCAGCCACGTAGACAGGGCTGAGTCCTGAGTGTCTCTTTCTGGCTATATTGGAGAGATGACCAGACAAAGCATATATTCCACAAAGTCTGGGAGAACCAAAATGAGGATATCTCTGAAGCTTGCACTGACCTTCGCATCACACCAACTAAAGCACCATAAAAAAAAAAAAATTAACGGGTACAACCTAATTGAGTTTCCTTGGTTACAGCTGGAAATCTCCAACGTAATTCTTTTCTGTTCAAGTAGATAAGGGTTCACAATGGAAAGTGAAACACAATTATCCTATTACTGCAGTTTAGAATTAGGACTCATGCGGAGCCCAACAGCCACCACCTCAATCAAGACTCGAAGCAATGAGTTCATTTCAACCGTTATGTGAAGCGTGGAAGGTGTGCTTCCTGGCTGTCCTCATGAATGCTGAAAGCTACCGATCTGTACTAGGTGCTGATCATGGGGAGGCTCTGCTAGCTTCCAAGTCTTAAATTATTTATTTCTGCAAAGAACTGGAAGCTGGCCTCTTTCATTCTGCCATTCTGGTATCCTTGCCACATTCTCTAAGACTGATGTGTGTGGTATATCTCCCCTCTTGCAACCCAATGAGCCTTGGGCATACATCCTAGTTTTCTTTATGTTGTGATAAAATATACTCTGAAAAAAAAAGCAGATTTTGGGAGGAAAGCCTTGATTTCTTCTTACAGAATAGGTGTATCATTGAAGGAAGTTAGGGCAAGAACCAAAGTAAGAACTTGAAGCAGAATCAGTGGAGGAATGCAGCTTTTTGGTTCACTGGTCCTCTGTCTCCTGCTCAGCTAGCTTTCTAATATAGCCCAGGACCATCTGCTTAGGGATGGTGCTGCCCACTGTAGGCTGGACCCTCCCACATCAGTTCATAATCAAGACAATCCCTGACAGACATGGCCACAAGCCAGTCAGATCTGAGCAATTCCTTAGTTGAAGCTTCCCCCGTCAGGGGACTCTTGATCATGTCAAGGTGGTAATGAAGGCTAACCAGTACTGAATACAGCCTCTTTCTCCTTCAAAGATGCAGTTTTCTCTGGTGAAATTATTGATGGAGAATGGGTTGCTTGAAATACCTTCTCATTTAAGACAGTTACAATGAATAACAGAAGACACATCCCAATTCTATACCATCCAAACACATATTACAGACAACCATGTCACTTAAAATAAGAACACTTCGGTTTCATAGACTGAGTTAGCTATTACATTCATCATCCATGAATATATAATATATTGTTATATTTTACCTAATCTAACATTGACAATAATCACTGCTTCATGATCAGTAACATTTTTACTAATTGTTCTGATTGTTTTTATTTTAAAAGCAACATTTTTGCTGTTACATTTTATGTCATCATTTTAAAAGAATGGGCAGGGAGCTCAGGACTTTTGGTTCATTGCAATTCAAGTCAAGTTGACGACTTTAGGTGCTGCTCCTCATCTGTGAGGCATTTGCTTAGTTAATGATTGATGTGGAGAAGACCCGCCCACCATGGGTGGTGCCAACCCTGGGCAGATAGGCCTGGGTTGAATAAGAAAGGTACCTGGGCAAGTCATGAAGAGCAAGTCAGTCAGCAGGATCCCTCTACGGTCTCTACATCAGATCCTGACTTGGAGTTCTGGCCCCTGCCCCTGCCCTGACTTCCCTCCATGCTGGAGTTTGATCAGGATGTGTAAGGCCAAGAAACCCTGTGCCCAAGTTGCTTTTGGTCATGGCGTTCATCACAGCCGCAGAAAGCTAACCAGGACAGCACCTTTGTGTGTGAGCACATGAGCACTTCAGCAGGTTCCATTTGGGTTTCGTTTGTTTGTTTCGGTAGGAAAGCTAACAGCTGGTGCATCTGGAGGAATGAGATCCAGGTCCCGTTCACTGAGAGATCCTCCCTCTCTGGTGTTCTCTTGACTGGATCCCTTCGCCAGGGGTGAACATAAGGTAAGATGCTGCTCCAAGATTTTCCAGAGGGCCTGGAGTGTATTTACCCGGTTCACGGATGTCTTAAATATGTGTGGTTCCACCGGAGTCTACCCACTGTGCATAAGAGCCGCCCCTGCTCCCCCAGCCAGCACTGCAGAGTTGTGATGTAAAACCACAGGAGAAAGCCCATCTTGGAGACAGACATGATAAGCAGCAGCTCCAGTCATGAATGGGCCATGGAGATGATGCTGGTTTTTCTCTGTCGTTTCTCATTGCTTTGCCCCAAGCACAGGATCAGTCACGTGTACTGCATGCTAAGTACAGTAGCTTATACCCCAGACTACGTCCAGAGAAGAGACCAATGTGGTTAGAGAGCCTGGGAAAACATCAGGAAAGACGGTGCAGAACCCAGTTCTAACTCCTTGTACAAAACTGCCAAAATTCCAAACATCCCCACTACACTGCAGGTCTGGACGGTGTGTACGGCACAGGAATGGCTTGGCCGGCCATGGTGCTGCTGCATCATGTGCAAACCCACAGGGAAGCGGTCTGTGGAACTGAGATGGGCAAACCCTGCCTCAGGGCAAAGGCTTCAAACACAACACCAGCACTGAGAAAGAGTACTGAATCAGTATTCTCCACACAAACAGAACCAGGAGAAGAGTCTTTACAAAACTTCACATAATAAAGCAAGAAAAAAAAAAGAATACACACAAAAAAAGAAAGAAAAAGGAAAAAACTAGTGTGAAACGGAAAAACAACAAAATGGTGGGCCTGGACACATCCATCCTAATAATTAGATCAATATCGATCATCCAAGCACACTATATAACCGAGATGATTGTGTTAAGGAAACAGGATTCAACTACGTTGTTCTTAAGAAAACCCACTTTGGATGTAATGACTTAGCTCCATTAAATGTAAAAGGAAGCCAGATGCCCATCATGCAAACACTAAAGAAAAAAAAGAAAAAAGCCAGTGTGGCTTTATAATACAGTCAGAACAGAATACAGAAAACTAGCCTGGATGTGGAGACATAACAAGTAAGAGTTGGAGGATCAGTTTCAGAGTGTGTCTCAGTGTCAGGGTGCTCAACTGCATGAGGCCCTACACTTTATCTCCAGCGCTGCAGAAGAGAAAACAGGGAAGGACCAGTTTATGACAACATCAGGCCTGAGTAAGTATGCACTGACAAGTGGGGCTCCCAACACAAGTGGCAAAAACTCCTGGAAATAAAAGTCAAAACATTCCTTACTCAGAAAACACATTTTTTAAATATGCCACCACCTGGATATTAAAAACCAAATTTCTCAATATCCCAGAAACTGAATACACTTCAGAATGGAAATAGTGTCACAACATATCACCATTGTCCCACAGCAGCATTTTCCAGGAAGTCTAGAGCCAGAGTGCTGAACTAGACAAGGAGACACAGCCTAACCACAATCATCACTTCTACTGTAAGAAACTACAAATATTACAAAATAAACTCAAAGCAGAAACAGAAATAACAAAAGTGTGAGCTAATGAAAATTAGAAATAAAAATGAACGAAACCTAGTGATAGCTAAAACAGTTTATTGTAGTTGTTTTTTTACTCTTTGGGGGCCTGCTCCCCAAAATATACTCCCAAATATACAGAGACTTATTCTTTTTTTTTTTTTTTTTTTTTTTTTTTTTT